GATTGAGTCCAGGCGGTTCTCATATTTCCTCATTTTTCCGAGGTCGTCATTTAGGAACGTGTTGAGTAGCTGAAAACGTAATATGTTGACGATTTGTCACCTAGCATAAAATGTTACGCTTTGGGAGTGAGAACGTGTTGAGGCGAGGAATTAAAAAATGAAGAAATTACACCAGATCTATAACATGTTAGTTACTTTAATGTAATTACAGCACATATCATCTGGAAAATTCTAACGGCACTGCTAATATTACATTTTAAATTATGCGTTATAATTGTATTGCAGCCGCTCAACTTCCACAACGTAATATAACACAGAAAAAAATACAGTAATGCAAACATGTTTGGCAGTGTGTCTCGTTCCTTGACCAGAGCAGACTGGATTTGTATGGTGAGTTATTCTTCTGTCAAATGATTGTCAGAATATTTTTCTTTAAAAAAAAAATAAAAAATTATTCCATTATTAAACTTTATTTAAAAAAAAAAATCTTGTACCTCCACCTAAAAAAACTTTTATCTCTATATATGGTAAAGATTCATAACTGTGTAATACAGCCTTAAATTAAGATTATAAGAACTTAGAAACATGCATATACTACTAGTTGAGAAAAAGTGTCTGTCACTTTATTCATTCTGAAACAGTCAGTTAACTTTACCGGTTTAATTAGATTTTATTGTGAGTGTTGGAGTCTGTCATCACCGTGTTGCTTCATTCTAATTCATGCTTTCATTGTCCAAAGCCTCACACGGGCTTTACCGTCACGGCACAGCCAGTACATCTCTGCTGCACAAGTCTCTGAAGCTATGAGAGAGATGACACTGATTACTGACAAAAGTATGAATAATGCATGTTGTGCTTTTTTTCACTGTAACATTTAGTGTACATTTTAAGAATGTTTGTACTTACAAGTGATGAAATTTCTGATATCGCTTGTTCTTTGGTTTCAAAATTAGATAGTAAGGACACTTTTAGGTGAGCAATCGCTATTTGGGCAGAAAGAAAGAAATACACATTTAGAATGTAATTAAACCTGCAAACTAAAGTAGTTGAAACATTTGGTGTTTTGCCACTTTTTTTCAGAAGTGACACATACAATGAAGGAATCTTTGTCTACATGTGAATTTTTGATATAGCTCTCAAATGGTGACAAACCTATAGCTGAATTACTAGAGGTGGGAGAAAATGTTGAAGAAAGACTGGATCCTGAGGTTGTGGTCACATTAAGTGGTGCAAGTGTTGTACTGCTTGCTGTTGTGAAAGAGATCATAGACAAAGAAGCTGTTATGATATTTATTGAAGCTGTAGCTTTTTGGTAGTGCAGTGGAAACATCTGTAATCAAAATGTAAATGTTTAAAACTGTGTATATATTTCTAGTCTCTGTGTTTTTCTTCACTTACATTGTTTACAGGTTGGATTATAGTCAGGACAGCAGTCACCCACTGTCACACAGTACTCGTCACAGTAACACCCTCTTCGGCAGTAGTCGTTGCGCCCTGGGCAACATAGAGCTGGTGGACCCAAACAACCTGTAGCAACTGCAACACATAAAGACCGATATAAAATATGCACTGTCTGGCAGTATGCGTGAGGTGGACTCATGTGAGCTCATGCACGGTATTATTTAGAAAGCATTTCTAACTAGCTAGAAAATGTTACTGTTAACATATTTTTAACAATCAGATCTATGAGGCAAAAGAAGTTTGTATGAGCTTTGTAAGTTAATATTCATTCTTTCACCTTTATTCTTTGGTACAGCATGAAGTGTTGAAGGCAAGCTTTCTTTTAATTTCTTTAAGGATCCCTCAGGAAAATGAGTGAAAGCCACTGTCTAATGAAACATTTCTAAAGATTGGGAACCTTTGCTCCAGATTACTTTAAAAACTGACAACAAACAAGCTTTGGCTCATTATGACAGAAAATGTGAAGCTTTTAAAGATTTTCAAAGATAGTAATCCAGTGGGGAGGGCCAAATTGGTGGAGAGAAGAGCCAGAACAGGAGACATGTGGACAAGCAGGGAAAACATATGAGGGGCAGCTAACTTGAATAAATATGACTTTTTCAGGAAAACAGTAGAAGATGTTAGGAGTTGGGTTCTGGTTATGTGGTGTTTTTGTCTGTATGTGTTTTTGGTGCCTCCCTTTTTGTATAGGTAGGCGGGGCAGTGAGTCACTGAACCTGGCACACCTGTTACTCATCAGCTGCATTCTTCAGAAGTGTTCTTTAGGAG